TGAAGTGGTAGAATGCATTAATTGTACCGAAGTAAATTAGTCTGGCACTTTTAAGGTAGATGAGATAAACGAAAAGCACATTTTTGTCTAGTTGTTGAAATGATTTCATAGAAAAGCTTGAATGTCTAAAAATATTTACGATCAATATAAGTTGTCCAATTGATGTGACTGGATAGGCTCGTTTAAATGTCTGCTCTTTTGGGAGAAGAGGAGATCGGTTTTGAATTCTAGCGATAACCTATATGATATAAGGCTGCACACATTTCTGACTTATAGAATGTAAGACTGACACGTTATAGTTACGAATGCCATGATTGTCTACGTACTAGTGTCGATCATATTGTATCGATCACTGCATAACATGATACTTGTTAATGTGAACTTTTAGTATAAAGTTCATCACTAATTTCGGAGTTGATTTCTATTGTGATATGTTCTACTGATATCGATAGATATAAGTAGTATGTAACATCAATCGAAAGTGAAATGCATGGAGGCAGAAGGTTAAAAAAATCGAAGAAAGGAGAACGAGAACAGCGAATGATTATCGTGAAAACGAAGAAACAGTGAAGTCTGAGACGATTGATGAATATTTTGCAAACGATGTATTAACTGTATGGTTCTCAGATTTTACCAAGATATTCTGTCTGAAAGACCTCTCTGGGTAGTGACGAAGTGTCCGAACACTTTTGGCTTGTATGGTAGCTATTTAGTGAGCGACTTCTTTAAAGTCAGCTAATGTGGTACTTCTAGCAGGATTCCATGTGAGTAGTGGACCTAACAAGCCGTCAATAACCGCCTGTCGTCTATGCAATCATTACTAATGAACACTTACTGTATGTAGTGACTGATAAGTTCGTTTGTTGTAAATACTGAATTTCAGCTTTCCAAGAGATCTAAATATCCATGATTAGCTTTTATAAGAACTTTCAAATACAAACCACAGTTGAATGTCAAACACAAAAGTATCATCTGTGCTGTGCTCTCTGAATTTCACTGATTCAATTGATAATGAAAATCCAATTAAGTGCTGATACTGCACGACTGTCATTTCTGATCATTTATAAAATTCAAAAGTTGCAGAGCATTTTTTTTCATTTTTTTCATCCGATTTTACAATTTACCAAACCTTTACGATATATGAAATAGACCTAGAAATAACATCATTGTAATGTTTTTCTCCTTGATAATTTCGTGTTTAAACTCGAAGTTTACTGTATGCAGGAAAAGTGTTCAGAGAAAAATATGTACAGGAATCTGAATTATATCAGAACATTAGAATAGAAGTGAGACAATATGAATATTAAATGCATTTGCATTTAATAAAAAAAGCATTGACTAAGGACGACACTAACTTAAAATCAAGACAGTCTGATGATCGTATTTGAAAACTGATAGAATAAGTTTTTGAATGCATCACTTAATTATTACTCGTCAGATAAAACAGGAACTTATTATCATTATTATCACTGTTTCACATATGTATATAAACCATAATTTTTGTCGACTTATCAATATAGGTGATTTGTGGAGATTGTAGAATTTTTATAGTTTGAATCACAAATTGATATTAGCTAGACCGCCATTGAAAACCTGGGAGCCCTGAACAGCCGTTTCACCGTAATATGGGGATCCCCAACAGTGAAAAGTCATGACACCTCACGTAAGAATTGAGCCATGGATTTTTGTTCTCGCGCGAGTTATTCAAATTGTGAAATGTCTACAGCCTTTATAAATCTCTGAAACTAATAATAACCACTTGCTTACCAGCGAATAGATTTAAGATATAACTCTTTGGTTTCTAGTGGGAAACCATGAACGGTAGAGATCAATCCATGTCGGGTATGAGATAATTATTCCCCTCATGTAATAAATTACAGTTACTCATTGTCATAAATCGATTGAAGTTAGACAGTAATACCATTGGATTCTAGTTTAATGTTCTAGGGGTTAAGCGATGTTGCGCGAGAGTGTGACCGTGAGTTCGTTTGCCGTTCGAGGGGTCATCGGTGTCCGCTAATGAGGAATAGCATGGTGGGACGAAATCGCTGTCCAATATCTCCAGCTTTCTGATGGCGGTCTAGCTTAGATCACTTCGTGATAATTCTTGAACATGTGCATTGCTTTAATAAAGAATTACTATTTGAATATTTCTAGCTCAAAAATTCAACATTAAGGTTATATGTATAACAATGTGAAGACATTTATTTTGTTGACCACAATTTTAAACTGGATCAGTAAAACCCAATCATCATTTAAAGCTAAACCACTGCTTACTAACCAATTAGCATAACCGATTTGCTTGGTATTAATACAAAGAGCAAAATATTCCTATCCATTTCCTTAACCATTTGACAGATTTTTAAACTGTTCATATCTTCCTATGAATGATTCATATTTCTAATTTTTACAATTTTTACAATAAAAGCCAAAGTATTATAACGTAAAGTTACTTTGCATTTTACGATTATGGCTCTATGGATTTGGGTGACACTTGATGCTCACTAGTTCAATATCTCAATATAAATTTATTCACCTATCTGACACCATCATGTTTCTGTATAAATACTTTACGTCATCAAAAAGATTTCTAAAAATACTACGTTTGCATAATCTACAATCATGCAGCCTAAGAAAAACAATGTATCTATAATTTCGTTGCTGATTACTGAGTTCAGACAAGGTTTTCCGTTAGTTTCAAAAAGAAACATTCCGCCCCTACAAAAATACCTTGTCAAGTGAATGTATATGAACCTATAATTTTATGGAATTTACCAAGTATGTATGCCAACTGTGTGCTGAAGGTATATGAGGCCAAATTAATTAATTCATTCATTAATTCATCAGTAAATTGTCAGGAGTGGAGTATGATAAGTATCAAAATGTAGTTCCTGAATTTCTTGTGAGTTCAACTGGGTCAGTTGTGATGTAGTAACTCATTGATGACAATGGTGGATGTGTGTATCAATTTCGTGGATTAGTTGAAGTTAGACATTAACATCGTTGGATGCCAGCCGGCTCAGTGTTCAAGTGGTTAAGCGGTTGCGCGCGAGACCAACAAATACTGGGTTTGAATCTCGTGGTGCGAGGTCGTCGATGCGCATTTCTGTGGAGTCCCACAATAGGGCAAAATGCCCATCCAATGCTTCCAGGTTTTCCATGGTTGTCTAGCTTCAATTGACTCATGATCTCAACTATTGATATTACTTATTTGATAAGTGCAACTTTTATTTTGACATTGTTCATTATTCACATTATAATCAATAAGTATATTGAATTATCCAATATTTTCCTGTTTACTGATTAATTTACAAATTTTTTTCATTGTATTTATAATGCGGTAAATTTGTGATTTAAACTTAGATAAAATGTCATTTTGTGACTTCACTTCTTACATTATGAATATTACAATACTATAATAAGTTTAGAAAACAATTCTAAACTGGAACTAAATATTGGGAAACAGTTAATAAAACACAAAATGGAAGGTCAGTTGAGATAAATAATCAAAATAATAATAATCATAACAATAATAATAATACAGATTAAGATCATTACCAAATTAAATATGAGATAATCTTAATAAACAGAACAGTATTGCAAAAATTGATTTATTAATGATTCGAGATTTTTTCAACAGTACAAATACTTAGACATCATACATATTAGAATTGTAAATATAGGACGAAACGCGCATCCTGGATTCCACTGCTAACCACTATCCATCTTTGCTTAAAAATTTTGTGACTTAAAGCAATATCAGGGCAATCCGCATAGGATGCATATATACCAACGTGAGACTGATCAATCGCAGTCCTAAATAACAATGGCAAGATACAAGTAAAACAACACCAAGTGAATGTAAATATTCTGGTTGAGAAATAAGTATTTATTCTTGATATCCTAGATTTTCTATGCTTTTCTAATCAATATAATTTAACAATGAATGCTGACTTTACATTTTATCAACGCCCATCTCTACGCTGGATGTTGGATGATTAATTCGAGAGAGTAAAGAGGGGGACTTAAACAATACTTGTTATTGGTCCATGAGGTCATCCACATTGGTGGATGTTGACTACCTAGTTGAAGTCCACACGGTTATCGTAACCAACGGTTGAAGAAATTAGGTAATGTGGTTCAAATCCATTGATTCATTGTCTTCTCATATGCACTGATATTCAAATTGCTTTGTTCATTCACGCTTTTCAAATCATATTATTTGCTCCAAATATTTTCTACTATCACTGATACTACTGTGTCATTTGTCTTGATAATTTTGTATCCGTGTTCTGATATAGAATGGTAACTTGAACCGATCAACACATGTATCAGTTGTTTAGGACTGATCGTTTGGGGCTGAAGCTAACTTATCATTCAAATTGAGTCGTATTATGCTATGTTTCCTTGTTATATAAAAGCATAAGCAAAACGAAGTCAAGTTTACAAATCACCGATTTTCTAAAGCAACATCTACTATTAATTGATTGACTTTAAATATTGTTAGACTTCTTTCCTGACTTTTATCTTGGAGATCAGATAGTTTTTAAAAAAATATCTCCATCACGAGATGACATTAGCTTCTAAACTGTTGATAGTCAAAGGACCAGCTAATTTTTTCTCATCTAGTACTCCATAACCATGACCACTTACTGCGGTGCTAGAGAAGAAACCCAAAGTATTATGGTCTTTCAGTGAGTGTGTCAACTTTATTAACTTTAGAAAGTACATAATTCAATTTTTGATCAGTTTATTTTTATACTTTGCTCCGTTACAACATACACTTTAATCCATCTACTGATTGCGAATAAGTAAATTGGTTGGTCTACATAACTTCTGAGTAATTGACTCAGTAGTATTAAAAAACGTTGCTAAATATAGTCGTGAATATGAAAAAAATCGAGGGTTTGGCGTATTTCAACCTTTGATATGACAGATAAGTCACAACACACCACTTCTTTTGAATGATAACTTAACCTAGAACAGTTCTAATCAATCAGATGATGATGATGATGATGATGATGATGATGATGATGATGATGATGATGATGATGATGATGATGATGATGATGATGATGATGATGATGATGATGATGATGATGATGATGATGATGATGATGATGATGATGATGATGATGATGATGATGATGATGATGATGATGATGATGATGATGATGATGATGATGATGATGATGATGATGATGATGATGATGATGATGATGATGATGATGATGATGATGATGATGATGATGATGATGATGATGATGATGATGATGATGATGATGATGATGATGATGATGATGATGATGATGATGATGATGATGATGATGATGATGATGATGATGATGATGATGATGATGATGATGATGATGATGATGATGATGATGATGATGATGATGATGATGATGATGATGATGATGATGATGATGATGATGATGATGATGATGATGATGATGATGATGATGATGATGATGATGATGATGATGATGATGATGATGATGATGATGATGATGATGATGATGATGATGATGATGATCAAATGACGCTGGTGTTTGTTTGTTTCTTTGAGAAAATCATCTATTTATGAGGTTGTTTTTTGTTTGTAAATCCAATTGTGATGATCCAGATTTCAAAATTTTTTTATATCATCTATAGTCCCATCTATTTTAATGTGTATGATTCACAACTCATTAGTGCATTTATCTTCGCATGTTATATAATAAAAATATCTTTACAGTTGATAATTATCGATTCATTATTCTATACCGATTACTATAACGATTACTTCATCGATCAATAATTTCAAACTTACCAATCAATATTCCATTCGTAGTATTCGGTGCATTCATTTATAAAATATCTAATTATGATTACCTAGCCTACAACTTTTTTAAAAATAATTACTGATCACTTTAAACTAGTTGGTTCCCTTTCATAAATTTAAACTATGGCATTGTATTCTGCAAATACTTTTATTTTTGCTTAATTTAAACAATAACAAAAACTGATCATTTTAAAACAATTAGAAATAAAACACATTCTCATATTTTATTTAGCTTATCAGTATTAATAGAAGTAGATACAACTGATTGATCACTAAATGGTGATCAATGTCATGTGTGTCGGATCATTCTTAGTGTAGATCGAATCTTTGTTGACGAATGCTGAATAGCATGAAAACTAGATTCAGAATTTCCTGTCGACTACCTCCGACCACTATCTTAGTAATAGTAGGTATAGTAATAGAAAGTAAAAATAAGGACGAGAAAATTAGCAAAAACTATTTGTTTAATGAGATCAGTGAATTCGTAGCACATTTGTCCTTCCATGTTCAGCATGTGTGCGCTACCAACTATTTCCGGGCACATTTCTGTTCATTTAACGGTTGAGTGCTCCATAAAATAGCATAATTTTGACTGGGAATTTCATTTGAAGCTCTAACTTTTTTTTCATCAGTCAAGTTGAGATGTGCTACAGTGATGCGTTCATAGAACTTGTATTTAAACAGCTTTGGATGATTGAGATGAAATCCCTAGAGAAAACCACACTCTTATATGCATCAATGACGACGGAGAAATAGTCGAAAACGCTAAATATCACACTTTTATTAATCCTTGTATAAAGCTTGATCACCCTCACGTATATTTAATTCATACAATACAATTTTGAACGGGGAGGTAACACTCACCACAATAAATTAAGAGTATGTATTACAATTGTGAAATAATGAATGAGTGAATTTCACTAAATTAACTTTAAAGATATACTGCTTAAAGTATAAAATCAAGTCATATCGTTATTATTAGCATTATTTTTAGAAAGCTAGTTGGACAAACAAAAGAGTTAATTATCTACCTATATATCGTTTCTTCCACTCTGTCTCTCTAGCTAAGTTTAAATAGTGAAACTCAACAAAATAGTATAGGACAGGCAGCGGTCACAAATGCGGAGGTGTAGAGAAAAGTCGAAGAGAATATATATATATATATATATATATATAAGTATATATATATATCATAAGTATATACACATACTCTTTTCATTTAGTTATCCCTGTAGGAACTTAATTAACTAGAGACATATACTTTCAGATAACATGTGTTTGTACATTATCTGTGTGGACACATTTATCAATAACATGTATTATTAGGTAATGATGAGTTGTTTCATCAATGAAAATCCTCTCAATATACTGAGAATAAATAACGGTAAAAAACAAACAAATAATAATAACTCCAGTTTATAATGTTAAGTACGTGAGTCGTTTGATTGAGACTTCACTTGTAAATTAAAGCTGCTAAACAGATTCGAGCTACTTATATTTACAGATTTATTATTATTATTACTATTATTATTATTATTAATGGCTTTATTCAATATCATAGTTTTGGTACAATATAGAATTCTCAGCACAGGGTATTTCAACAAGTTTCTTACACACACACGAAAAACAGAAACAAAGACAAAAAAGGGAAAAAAGGATTTCGAAAAAATTTGAAAAACTGTACAACTTTTCAAATTAGAAACATGTTATGAATGGAGGTTATTGACCAGGTTAACTCTAACAACCTGTCTGTCACAGACTATAGTTGCTAGGTAAGGTATTATAGAACTTTTATACTTTTGCTTGCATGCATGGATTTTAATGTAATTACGTCTTGTTCTACCAGAAGATATACAAGGAGAAAGATATGAGTGAAGGGGATGGTTAGTATCTGATAAAATGACACCTGCCACGAGTTCGCATGTCTATCCACAACCATATTAATTATGACTGCGAAAGATGCACCACACATCTTGCTAACTGCCTTCAGCACTCTCCGCTATACAACAAAGTCTTTTCTCAAAAGCCAAGATTCTTGAATTGTGATGACACCACAATTACGATACATATTTTGACTTAATAGGAATTGAAGATAGTCCACTTTGTTGATTAGTGATCGGCAGTTAGAGTTTAGCAGCTAGGGAATCGACATGCGATTAATGTTCATTCTCTTTAACGCCTATTGCCAACCAACACGATGTCTTTTATAGTGCTTTTTTGTAACTTGTGCAGCGAATGGTCGTAGGCTTTTCATAAACGTGCCTGTGTAAGTTATGCGATTAATAGACATAATGAGATGTTAAAACAAAATAAAAAACAGATAACTTGTTGAAATAATTCGACGGCAGAAACAGGTAGCCCAGATATTCAAGCAGGCCGCCGCCTTTTTGGTAAGGATTTAAGTTATCTTGTTATTAATATTCAGGACTCAATTTTTGTCAGTCTTTGTTAGTATATACGCATCGTGTGTGGATTACACCTATTTATTCATTTCGTGATAAATTTTAGGAAATAGGAAGATTGTATATGTCGGAGGAATCCAAAAATGAACATATCATTTAATATGATATTAGTTAGATAGTTTTAGCCACATCCCTCTCTTAATGTTCGCATTACATCTCCATCTCAGTACCTTTTGGTTCAAATGCCAGCGTGTAATAATGATGTGAACATCATACCTGTTAAACACGTTAGCAGATATCTGAACACAGTAACTCAGTAGATAGTGCGTTGGCGTTTGGATTAGACTATATATTATTCTGGTCTCAAAGTCATGCATCAAAATCGGTTTGTCCAGTACTGCCAGTCCAATCTGAGATAACACTATACCATTTGACTTGATTTACACAACTTAACTGATTGAGTTATTGGGTTAGCTGACTTCTGAGATAGGGTATATTCTTATGATATTTTCAAGGTTGAGAGTGAAACGGTAAATTGTTATTGTGTATCTAACTTCCAGTCAGTTCGAGTTGATATTCGTCGTCATCATCGATTGCAAGTTATAAAGTATACCACAGGTCAACAATTAAAATCGATGAGTGAAAGATTTTACTTAGACTATTGAGCATACAACCAGCCAACTACATCAACGTGTTTTTAAATATTACCCCTCAAGGCTGACCGAATGACATAAGAGAATATAAGACGATCAGTTTTGCCACATTTAGCAGATATCAGTCATAATAGCGATATAAATTTAGCATCCAACTTCCATTACAATTCCAGATATTGTCATCTACATATAGCCGAAGCCATAAAAGTGCACATCGATAGACCCAAGATTCAGGTACAGAAAAATGTCTATACATCCTATTAGTTTGCCAAAACCTTATTCTTCATCTTAGTTATCGCATTTCTCACGGATTTATAAATTTTATTCATTTTTTTCATTTTATATGACCCATTCATCTTAATAATCTAATTGTGTAATCATCCTTGCATCAGTTTTATTGATGATGTATGTATGATTGATTCTGTAAATTACAATCAATGTTTATGTTCAACTCCTTAATTTCAAAATTACATAAACGTTTGTAATGAATAAACTCTTATGCGCTCCTCTCCTTAAGTTTATTTTAGTGTCCATTACGTACTAATATATGGGGATGAAAAATCCTGGACGGGTGGCCTATGCACCTCCACAATGGGTAACAGACGTAAATAAGTAAGTAGTATTACGAAACGAAAAAATAAATAAAACGAAGTTGATGATGCAATCAATTTTGGCTTTTGATTGAGATCTTGAACCGATTGATGTTAGACCACCATTGAAAACCTGGAAACGCTGGACGGCCGCCTCGTTTTATTGTGGAACTCCTCAGCAGTGCGCATCCGCGAACCCACTCGTGGGATTCGAACCCGGGGCCTTCAGCCTCGCGCGCGAACGCCTAACCTAATTGACCACTGAGCCGGCTAGCATCCAACGGTGTTAATGTTGAACCTCAACTAATCCACGAAATTGAGGGACCATCTTCCATTGTACTGAAGTAAATACCTGTCTCTACCCAACATGGGAATAACTCCACTGGTCTCGGTTTACTTAATAGAACTCCGAGAATTCCCTCACGAAGTTAGTCACTAGTGAGCACAACCCCATACTGATCATTTTGGTTTTGTTAGAGATACTAATTAAAAAGGTATATTACTTCAATTGATTTTTTTCCATGTAAAATAATTCATAATTCGTAGACTGTAGATATTTTTTTCGATTTCTAAAAAAAAGGTTTCGATTAATTCATTTTTCTAATGAAGTGTAATAGTTTGTTTGTTTGTTTTTTCTGACAAATAATCGAAAGTGTATACATGCACATTTAGTCTAGATCCCTTGAAATTAGGCCTATTGATCTAACTTACTTGTTTTAAGCAATAATATCTAGAGTTGAACAGAAATTTAGATTGAATTATATAAAAAAAAATAAAAATAAAAAAATATATATATTTGGTACAATAAACCAAAATTCAGGATATATAAGGTAGGTTTTAAAAGAACAATAGAAAATCTAGGATCTTTTTGGTACTAATTATTTATCAGTAGTAAAGTGTACTTGTGTATGTCTAAAGGAAATAACATACCTCTTTTAAATATGATTCACGATTTAAAACGTCATCTTTTTGATATTAGATCTTTAGCTACTATGAGAAGCGTAACTTTATTTCACAGTACGTTTTCACCCAAATATTCAAATCTTCAATCTCATTCAATTTATAATATGTTGA